AGAAAAATTATAGATGTGACGCCGTCAACATTAGATCATGAGAAAAGAAAGGCTCTGATTGGTTTGCACGCGTTTTCTGGTAACAACTACGTTTCAAGTTTCTTCAGGAAAGGGAAGATGGCTGTTTGGAAAGCGATGCTGAAAAGCCAAGAATTTATTAGTTTCTTTGCTGAGCTAGGCAGCTCTCTTCAAGTTCCTGACCATCTTTCAGAAGGCTTAGAAAGGTTCGTTTGTGCATTATACGGTAACAAGGTGATGTCTTCGGTGAACAAACTTCGACATAAGATGTTTGTCCAAAAATTTACGAAAGAGAAGAAAGTCGTTGATCTTAGCCTTTTGCCACCTTGTGCAACCAACCTCAAGTTTCACATAATGCGTGCAAATTATATATGTTGCATTCATTTTCAGGAATGCTAAAAACTTGATCCTCGATCTTGATGACCAAACATGTCATGGCTGGAAAGAAGATGGAAAAGTTATCTGGGACAGTGTTGCTTACCCCGATGACGTTAGCGAAATGTTAATTGACAGAGAAGAAGAAAGTGACGAGTTTGATTTCGAGCGAAATAGTTATATTGGAGATGACATCGATGATGATATGGAGGATGATGAGCATTAACATGTTTACAAGTTTTTAAAGCGATTAAATAAAGTGTAGTTTAAATATATAGTAACTAAAATCGGAAAACATGGTTTCAATGCGTAAAAACGCGGCTATAAATCTCGGAAACGAGGCAGATGGCCCAGTTTATCGTCCGAATGCAATCAATTTTCGAATTCTGCACCTAAAAATACCTAAAAGTGCGTATATTAAACAAATTATTCATTGTTTTCGCTTTAATCGAGCGGATAACGTTTCCGCATCAAAACGAGGCTTTAAACGCGAAAACGAGGCTGAAGGCCACGTCCACGGCCTGTATACCAACGATTTTCGAATTCAGCACCCCAAAATTGACCAAGTTCACTTGGTTTCATAAATTTCCCCGTCGGGGGACTGTTCCCCCCTTCTCCGCCTGGTCTACAATGAACCCTCATTTCTGTATGCAATTAAATTATCTTGCCCCACTCTGACTATTGCAGCCTTGTTTGGGATATAGGAAATGCATATTCGCTCGTAAAACTCCAAAAACTGCAAAACAGGGCTGCAAGAGTCATAACTGGTAAATCACATGATGTCAGATCTAAGGATATATTAGAAGAATTAAGCTAGCAGCCATTGATGGAAAGATGGAGTAATAATAAGGCGATATTTATGCATAAAGTTACGAATGGTGAATACTTAGAAAATATATCTAGCATTGTGAGAGATGAGGTTGTGTGCGATTATATTGAGAACATCCTATATAGCTCTCAAAACATTAAGTTTTTAAAGCCTCGAATGTCCATTTCAACTTCTGTACCAAGGAAATTTTTTCGCGAAATTGTAAAGTTTTTTTACGTAAAAATTCGAAATCTTAAAATAGCCTTTTACCTTAAAAGGTAATCTCATACCTGTTTTCTCTTCGCTTCGTATACGCGGCCTTTATCCACCTCAGACAGAACAGTACTAGTTTAGAACATTTTAGAGCTACTGTACCTGTATAACTAACATTCTATTTCAAACGAACTGTTTTTTCTCTTTAAGTTGAAAAGACGTTTTTCGTCTCCAAGAAGAAGTCATCTGGAAAAGAATACACTGTTTCAGAAAATGGTGTTGATTGTGATCGGAATTATCCAATGTCATTCTTTACTGCCCAAACGATTCCAACTGATGACTATCCGACACCTGTGTATTTATTCTCAAGTTCAGAAAGTACTTGGTTAGGTAGCAATAATATAGATGCTTACAACAAGCTTAGTGTAAATGGATATTTTTATGTTAGCAAGATCGCGCGGAACTACAGTTCGGCAATATATTATACCATGGAATATGATCCGTTTCGAGGCTGGTATATACCAGAGTATACAACAACACCTCTGGATGGAAATTGGACGGGAAATGTTGTATATGTGAAGAGTCATAAAGGTGTGTATGCCAAAAATTAAATGAGCATCCATATGAGATGTGATTACACTGTAAATTTCAGGGAGTTAATTTAACTCCAGTGGTATTATTCTGAACCTAATTTTACTCCACATTTGGAGTTAATTGAGGTACAGTATAACTCCACCGGAGTTAAATTAACTCCCCGAAATTAACAGTGTACCGCACACAAACTGTACAAACAAAAAAATTTTACTTAGTGAACGCGAGTGACGTAGTAGAAATGTTCCTGACACCCTGGACGCAATTCGAACTTAAGATCCAGACACACGGGACGCGATTCGACCAAGCGACGCGATATCTCGATTTTCACTGACCGATAACTTTGATCCTATACAGGGAGTATCAAAAAAAGTAAGACAATTTTGAAATTCCTCACAATTCCACAATTCTGTTCATGAAATGTAATTTTTGCTATATATGGATTGCTTGAGTTCTTAAATTATAGAAAGTATAAAAAAAATTGAAAATACTAAATTTTGCTATCCAGGGGGGTGGTCAACTTTTGCTGCCCTAAAAGTGGCTTGCGCACGGAAATGACAAACGGTATTCTTTATTTGAGTTCATATATGAAAAGTTCGCTACTTGTTGCATTTATGATAAAATTTCGGCAGGATTTTACCGAGTAAAAAACCTCCTAAAAGCCTATGAAAAAGTTACATTTTTCTCTGTTGGTGCTGTTCTTGCTTCATTATGAATTCATTTTTACTCCCATGAGAGTTCCATGGAATTTCCATGGTGTTTGTGCTTTCGAGTTGTTTGTGCTGAAACGCATTTTCTCGTATAATACCCCGTACACTTTGAAATGGCGATGCCACAATTTACCCCGCAGCAGAGAGCTTTTATGGTATCAGAGTTCCTCCGTAGCAACAACATAAACTTGGTTCGCCAAAGTTTCACGAAAAAATATCCAGATGTACGATGCCCTTCACGTGCGAATGCGTGAAGGGCATCGTAGGTACCTACATCTGGATATTCGTTCGTGAAACTTTGGCGAACCAAGTTTATGTTATTGCTACGGAGGAACTCCGATACCGTGCATAAAAGCTCTC